CTCATCTCAGGATGCGCACCTTAGGCCTTGCAATTTCCTCTGCGCTATTCAGACAGTGCTTATGGCCCAAATTTAATGTACAAGGCCAGCCTGGTCTACAACAAGTGCCAGGACAGCCAAAGTTGTTACACTGAGAAACCCTGTCTCAAAAAAACCAAACCGAACCAAAACATGTGTGTGTGTGTGTGTGTGTGTGTGTATGTGTGTGTGTGTGTAATTTGATGTATATGTTTTTCTTTGAGTGCTTCCTTCATCATGGTTAAGTAGTCAGTTTCAATTCTGGGAATCTATTCCCTCCAGCCCTCTTTGAAAAGTCTGTCTAGATGATGCCAAGCATAGAGCTTAAGAACTGCCCCTTTTCATATAGCACATTTTCCTTTAATAGGAGCCAGAGGGAATGGGAAGGGGGACATTAATAGACACCTTAATTTCACTGAATTACTTAATCCGATTTCTAGTTCTGCAGTCTTGTCCACTTAAAGAAAAGTTCTAGTTCAAGGGTTTTAAGGCGTTTCCTGGACCTAAACAGTCACAAATCTATGCAGCACTTCACTTGTAAGTTTTCTGGAGTAATCATAATTTAAGATTTGTTTTGTTGAGAGAGGGACTGTACCTAGTCCAGGCAGGCCTCAAATCCCCTGCATAGGCTAAAATGACCTCCCACTTCTGATCCTACTGCCTCCACCTCTCTCCCAAGTACTGGGATTACCAGTGTGCTCCACCACTAAGCTGACAATTTACTTTTAGGGATATTAAGTACTTCAGATTTAATCATTATAAATATTTATGACACAACTATAGACTGTGAATCAATAAAATTTTAAGATGCCTGTGTTTTATGGCTCCTCTCTTAACCTGTTTATCAATAAATTATTACACAGAGAAGCAAAATTTAGCATTTGGATAGGCTTAAACAAAATCTCACACTTAGACAACTTGAACAATAAGCACCAGGTCTTCACAGCATCTTTACAAAAGAAACCCCAGAGATTTCTATTTCTAATGGCCACAGAGCTAGGCAGAGTAATATAGGTGAGTGAAACTGTCAGCTTCTAAGGTGGAATAGAATGGTATGGACTGCGGGAAATGAGCATTTACCATCTAATGGGAAAGTTATGTTGTTACTTTTTTTTTCCCACCACATAGGTCTCAGGTATAGAACTCAGATCCTCAGGCTTCAGGGCAGGCATCTTTACTCACAAAGCCATATTGCTAGCCCCTCATGAAACTTAATATTGCCAACGTTGTCAAACTAGTTCAGCCAGGCAGTGGTGGAAGAAGCAAATAACCCCCCTCAGGTTGTTCTCTGACCTCACATAAGCCACATCCACACACACACGATAACTAAATAAAGATGTATTCGGTTGAATAATGTGAATTCTCTCTCATTTTTGTAGATTTGGAAGATATAAAATATTGTCTGTTTCATATTTCTATGATGCTCAAACATTGTGCCTACTCAATAAAATACAT